ATTCAGAGCGGCGGGGAAGGAGGTTCGTGAAAAACAACACCAGAGACATTCCCTCAAGCCAATCCCAACTTCTGACAACAATTTCCGTGGATTTATTTAGAAGTAAGGCCACGGGAATCGGTTCCAAGCCCTCCACGCGGATGCTGGAAACCGCGGATACAGGGAACACTAGGTATTGCATCGCCTCTGGTAGCCTCTAGTGGTCCGTTCCGGTAATACACCTTGGATACCCGAGTTTCTGCATTTTTAAGAAGAAATGTTGACAGGCAGCAGGTAAGTGAAACCACAGAGGCTGATCTTGTTGATAGGGTGCTTCTGCTATACTCAGAAGGGGTTGACCATTCTCTTCCTCATCCACCATTTAAATAACAACATGTCACAAATGAGAAGGGAGGGAAACATTGCAGATTCTTGTTGGGAAGGCAAGAATATAATCCTAAAGAGAGTGCGCTCCTCTCCTGACCAATAACAGCAAACCAGCCTGACGGATCTAAAGTTCAGGAAGGGGGATGAAAGACACCCCCACCCCACGGCCCGCAATTCAGGACGGCCGCTCGCGGGGGCGCACCGACCGCGCCGAGCGCTCACCTGAAGCCGATGAACGATGTCCCGGATGTCTGTCGCCTGGCCCTCCTCGACCCTCATGCAAATGTAGTCCCCCGTCTCATAGTAGAGGTCCAACGTGCAGGTCTCTGAGAAAGTCCACGCCAGGATGTCCCTGCACGAACAGTTAAAGACCACCCTCTTCTCCCGGGCGTCAATGAGGACTAGAAACTCCGCGGAGATGCCAAGCAGGCACCGGATCTCGGGAGCTTTGTTCTCCGTTCCCCGGCTACCGTCCCGGGCCCAGACGCCCCACACCAAGGCTCCGGCGCTGTGCGCTTCGGCCCCTTTGGGCGCCTTCGATTTCTCCCGCTTCTTGGCGGCCAAAGCGATGAGCGCCAGGCGGGAGGACGAGGCCTCCAGGGTGCTGGTGGTGACGTGGTTGAGCGCCAGCTCCCGCAGGTACTCCTGGCGGGTGCGGGTGGCCATGGCGTGGAATTTCCCCGACCGCTCGGCCGCGTTCTCCGCGTTGATGGCTTTGGCGAGCAGGAGGTCCCGGAAAGCTGGGCCCTTCCGGAAGCAGTTCTCGGCGGGGATGAAGGGGCCGAACGGCGGGATGTCCTTGGTACAGCTGACCGCCATGCTGGACGTGGCAGGATCCCGGGTCGAGAAAAGGAAAAAAGTAGGCCAGTGTCACTCATTGTCAGATGTTTACTGTATTTTTCAGTGTATAAGATGCACCCCACTTTTCTAACCCAAAATTAAGAAATCTAAGTGGGGCTAAGCAAGTGCAGGGGGAAAGGGATCAAAACCCTGCAGGATCGCTTTGATCCCTGCTTCCCCCTCTGTTTGGGTTTTCTCTCCTCAGCTTACTTCCGTGTATAAGACGACCCTCAATTTTTAGCCTAAGGATTTTAGACAAAAGTATAGTCTTATACATGGAAAAAATACGGTAATGCCCTGTTCCTCCCCCCCCCCCCAAATAAGACCTAACCTGAAAATAAGCCCTAGTAATGATTTTTCAGGAGGCTCGTCATATAAGCCCTACCCCAAAAATAAGCCCCAATGAAGTGAAACCCCATCCACCCTTGTGCAGCAACCAGAAGAGGACAGGACTTTATTTGAATAAACGTAGACGATTGTACATGAAAAAAAATAATCCCCTGAAAATAAGCCCTAATGCATTTTTTTTCGAGCAAAAATTAATATAAGACCTTGTCTTATTTTCGGGGAAACACGGTAATCATCCTCATGATAATTTCTGAAATCTGCAACTGCTTATAATACTCTGTGTTTTTTTTTTTTAGCCCAAGGATGGGAATGTCTGCTCTAACCACTAGGCCACCCTGGCTCTTTAGAGGCTACCCAGGGCGGTCATTTCTGGTTCTTTTCGGGCACGGCCAGGAAGACGAGGAGGAGCAAGAAGCCAGAGGCCTCTGAGCAAAGCCGCCAAGGGAACGGGATCAAGAATCCGGAGTGGGCGACAACAGGGTAAAAACATCCGGACGTAAGAGAAATCGGATCTGGAAACATCTGGTTCTCATGTCTCGCCGCGCCCTCTCCTGGCAGACGGTGGGAGTGACACACGCATGAAAAAAATCTGGGCTGGAGAGGATTTTTTTTTATAAAGTGGGGGCATTTATCTTTGGGTGCAGGAATTTCAGATTTCAATTTTTTTTAAAAAAAGGATAGCTCAGGAATAGGATGATTATGATTTTCAAAATGGGGAAAACTCACGATTCTATGCATAGCAATATCTTGACTTAGGCATTATATGCCCACCCACTAGAGTTAGACCAAGCGTTGGGCTACGCCAGGGCCAGTCTGATCTCTATTCATGCATTGGAGGTAGACCACTCCTCGTGGGTCTTTAGTGAAGATACAGTACGGCCCCCTTTATCTGTGGGATCAGGATCCACTGATTCACTTATCCACGGTTGGAAAATATTAAGAAGGTTCAAAAAAATAAATAAATATCCCAAATAGGTATATTTAATGATTAAGCAACCAGAACTAGCCACTAAAGGGAGCCAGATACCATGTTATGCATAAGATTCATTATTATAATAGTGTTTGGTATCATCTGCATGTTTCAGTATCCATGGCCGAGGGGGCAGAGCTGGAACGGCCACTCTGCAGATACAGGAAGCCTACGAGGGACCTGGCCATTCAAACAGGGTGCTTCTTCTCTATCCGAAAGGGCCCGCTTTGTGCTGCTCTGGGCCTCCCTCCTCACCTGTAAGTCGTGTGGTCTTTACACGCCTCCCGCACCCTCACCACGATGAAGACGTGCTGGAAGTGAGAGCGAATGGTGCGCGGCGTGAAAGGGAGGGCCCCGGGCTCCTGGAAAACGATGGTGACGATGTCGTTCCCGATGTGGCGTTTCCTCAGCAGCTGCGAGGAGAAGGAGAGGGAGGTGAAAGGGGGTCACCCGGGGAAAAACGGGCACAGCGTGGCAGGACGTAGGCTGCAAATTTAAAATCTGAGCCTCTGCCACGCCTTCGCTTCAGGAATCGTCCGCTCCAAAAGGCTGGCGGCTCTTTCTCTCAGACTTTGGAGGACCACCGTGTTCCTCCGACTTATTCCCCCCCCCAAATTTGCTGGAAACGGGATCCCTAGAAGGTTTGGACGGGGAGCCCAATTCGAATCAGGGGTCGGGCGAGCCGATCAGGGTTGCGACGGGTGTAAATTCCGGCTCGCGGATTCCGTCCTACTTGAGCCCCAGCCGCTCCGGCTGTGGGCCCGAACTTGAAAGACGAAAGAGAGAGAGAAAGAAAGAAAAAGTCCATGCCCACCTGCTGGCGGTTGTTCGGGGTGTAGGGAAGCATGGTGGAGACGTGGAACATGATCTCGTAGTCCTGGTATGTGGTGTAAAGGGAGTGGGTCCCCGTGGAATCGGCTGCAAAGAAGAGGGGGGGAACAGACAGACAAACGGGATTTCATTGAGCCCCACAGGAACGGCTGCACACGCGCACGTCCCGGGTCGCCCCAGCGATAAACACGGCAGCATCTACATAGGTCCCTCCTGCATATCCTTTTTATACTTCCAGTTGTCTTGGGGAGGGCCTGTCCATCAAACCAGCAGCAACCAGTCCTTCCTTCCCTGCCTCTGGAGTCAAAGAGAGCCCCGCCTCTCTGCCCAGAGTCTCTTTCCCTCTCTCTCGTTTGTTGTTAAAATCAGCCCCGTTTGTCAAGTTTGCTGTCTGATCCCTCCGCAAACCGTAAGTAAAGAAAATCGTGTGCAATTTTTTTTCTCTTACTAATGTCTCAGGCTTAACGAGGAAAGGGGGGGGGGTTCAACTAATCCTCTGTGAATCCCTGCACATCTGCTGTGCAAGGAGAGGGATTTACCCAAATGTTCAAAACCCTGCGAGAGCTCCCCCACTTACTCTTGGTGTCTAGCTGCGCCCGGTATTTCTCGAAGCCTCGCAGGCGGACCCGGTCGCCCAGAAGGTCCAGGAACTCCTGGAAAGCCGGACTCGCTTCTTCGTTGTTGTACATGTCCTCCTCGGAGCCCTGCCCAGCTTGACAGTATAACACGCCGACTTTCCGCTGAAAGCTGAGCTGTTTCCGGGAGGAAGAGGAGGAAAACAGGAGGAAGAAAAATGAACAACCTCAACCCATCATTTTAATATTTTCAAATGGTAGATAAGGCAGCGGATACCGATCCCGCGGATACGAGGGCCCCGCTGTATCTCTGCCCGTTTTCGCAACCCAGCAAGCGAAATTTTGTACAGAGAATTTGGGGCAGAATTCTCACATTTCAGAGGCCCTGAGGCGCGGCGGACCTGGGGGGCGTTTTAACGTCCTCCACCTTCAGAAAATGCTCAGCGGGCAGAGAAAAGCCCGTCTCTTCTGGACAGCGGACATCCTCCCGGATGGAAAGCCGGTGAGCACGTCCGACGGGTCAACTCACCCCCTGCTCATCGAGCTTCAGCAACGTCTCCGGGACTTTTGGGGAGCTGGAGGCCAAGCGGAGACACTGGAGGTTCAATTCGGGCATCACATGCTCCAGCAGCTTCTTGGGCGGGATGCCACGAGGAGTGGCGTGGCGGGCGGCCAGGGGGAGGGCGTCCTCCAGGATGGATCCCCGTAGAGTCCGGAGCTAAGAGAAAGAAAGGGGGAGAAACACCCCCCCGGCAACATTTGACATCGCTCTGCTCCAAAACCGTGCCTTGGTGGCCTCACCACGTGGCCCTCCAAAGCGTGCGCGTGTTTTTAACAAATCACACCCTCTGCCACTGACTTGCTATGCCCGGCCTTGGTCATGTCACTGCACCTCAGCACGGGAGGAACAACACGCTCCGTGCTGCTTTTGCTCTCTGCCTGCCCCCCCCCCGATGCAAAGCCTGACTTGCTGGGACAGGGTTCGAGACCTGCTTCAAACCCCTGTGAGTGTGTGTGGGGGGGGAAGAATGCTTCTCCCCCGGGGCCCACGGGGCAGGGACCCACCTGACTCGTCCGTATGATGAGGCGGTAATTGAACTGCGGGCCGGCGCTCCCCTCTTTCTCCTCCCGCCGCAAGGAGATGGCCACAGCCCCAAGCTGGTCGTCCACCCCGAAGAAATTCTGGTGCTCTGGGTGGGAAAGGAGAGAAGCAAACTGGCCTTAAGGTTCTAGTCCTCAATGAGTCAGGAGACTCACTAAATGGCTTCCATCTCTCTCTCTTTAAGCCTGGATGGTAAAATATACCATTGCTTTCAGCTTATGGAAGAAAAAAAGACAGGGAAGAAATGGAACTCGCATGCAGCCTGGAGAAAGTGTGGGCGGGGCCTTTCTGGGGAGGGCTGGCTGTCCATCTATCCAGCACTGACCATTCTCTCCTGCCTCTGAACTCGAAGAGAACCCCGCCTCTTTGCCCAGTGTTTTTTTTCCCCTTCTCTCCAGCCTGCTGAAGTCCGGGAGCCTTGCTGCTCAAAGCAGCCATGTTTTTAAGCGTGAGGTTTTTGCTGGAAGGAAATGAGACATTTTATTATTTCTCTTGCTAATTGTCTCAGAAGGAGTTGTCGAGACTGGAAGGGGGGGTCGTTAATGAGAAAAAGAGGTGGAACCTGAAGCGAATTCTGCTCTGCGAAAACCCCGCACGTCTGCTGGCGGCACAGCTAGACGAGTCTAACCAAAATCTAAAATTCTGTAACAGAATGGCCACCTTGGGAATAAGAAAATAAAAAATAAAGGAACGAGATAGTCCTACGGCGGGGGGGGCAGATGGTCCCTTCCGAACGAGTGCTAAAACACATAGCATGGAGCAGTTCTTCTGCCAGACTAGGACTCGTGTGAGTTCTGGGTTCAAATCCCAATTCTGCCACAAAACTCAAGGGGTGACCCCTTAGGTCCGTGACGTTCCCTGGGTCTGGCCAACCTCACGAGGCTTGTTGTTATGATGATGAAAGCTCATCAGAGGAGGCGGCAGCATAGAAATATAACAATCCCTCAGGGGTGGGAAAACAGGTCGCCTGCCAAAAGCATCTCTGTGTTCCTAAGGTCATTTGAAAGCCGGCCATGTTAAAAAAATAAAATAAAATTCAAAATAACTTGAGTAAGGGAAAGGAGGAGGAAAGGAGTAAATTCCAAAAACAAAAGACTAAAAAAAGGGATTTTCTGGACGAGGAGGTGCTTGGTGGGGGGGAGAGCTAGTCCCAACCATGTCAAAATTGTCCCGGAAGTAAACAAAAAATGAAATCCTTTTCTACCCCGTTTGATAGAGCCATTGCGCCTCCTGCTGTCGGTTTCGAGAAACAGCCGGACGAAACGTTGCCTACAAACGAAAGTTTCCCTACTTCGGCGACGTAGACCAATACGCTCCGGGATCTGGATTCGAATCTCCGCTCGGCCAGAGGAAACTCACTAGGGGGTTTGGAACGGGTAAAAAAAACCCCACTCCTTAAAGAGCTTCCTTCGCCGAAAGACGTCCCGGGGAGGGTACTAAAAGTCAATTCCGATTTCGGAGACCCTCGACCACATCTGGCTGAAAAACCAACGCTTTCTGCCCGCCAGCTGTTGGGGAAGCCTCAGGCTAAATTTCCCGCCCGCTCCAGATGTTCACTCTGACCTCTCCTTCCTCTATAATTCTCCTATACCTCTAGTCAGGAGCTTGAGTCCTGGGACTCCGTATCAAACAAATTAAAACCGACTCAAATCTGGGCTCGACTCAGTTTTAATTAATTTATTTACGTGCTTATTTATAGGCCGCCGTTCTCCTTCTCTGGAACCTCACGTCCTTAGAAAGGTATAAAAATACGAACATTTTCCAATGGCTCGAATCATGATTTGCAATCCACTCACCCACCCCTTCCTTTTTTCCGCGGGGAAAAAATATTGTTTTTTTAAATAGGGACTCTGACTTTAGGGAGGGTGACAGGATGGAATTCGAACTCGGGATTCGCCGCTAAAGACTCGCCAACATACACACACACACCGCCGGCTCCGGAGGCGACTCACCCTTGCCGTAGAAATGCTTGCGGTAGTAACAGGCCCCGAGGTCGGCGTACTCGATGGCGTGGCCGGCGCGGGTGGTCCTCTGCCCGTAACTTTCGCGAGGTTCCTCCAGGATGGAGACGGCCATGTTGGGGCAGTGGAAGCCGGCCAGGGACCCCCGGTGCTGCCCGATACCCCTCTCCGCCTCCCCCCCGGCCTCCGCGCGGAAGCAAGGGCAGCTGAGGACCAGGCACCCGCCCGTCTCCTCGCCTGTCTCGTCCTCCGACGCCGGCGCCGCGTCGGCGAGGTGGGCACTGCCAAACCACGTCCAACATATGCAAAGTCCTGCCCTCAACAATCTTGACCTGGTCCTTCGTGGGCCATGTCCTTCTTCTCTGAAATCTCAACCTCCCCCAATTCCCCAGACAGAATTCTCTGAGTTCCAGCTTCCGCGCCCACACCTACATTTTGCTCACCCGGAACAAGGCCTACCTCGGAGGCCTGTGCCTCCCATTGTCAATTGGGGAGAGGGAGCTGCTGCAGGGCTTTCTGGGAGCTGTAGTCTCGCTGCCCTTTAGGAACAATAGAGGGTAACACTCAAAGAACTATGTCTCCCAGGAAGCCTCACAGCAGCTTCTCTCTTTTTTTGCACAATAACAACAGGAAGTAAGGCCCTACTGCCTTTTGATCCAGGTGAACAAAATGCAGACTGTGGGTTGCAACTCTCAGAATTCTTTCTGGGGAATTCCTGAGTTGAAGTTCATTCATCATCATAATCATCATCTTAGAACTGCAGAGCTGGAATGGACTCTATGGATCAGGAGGCTTCTTTGACACTGGTCAGACGAATAGGTCGTCCGACTGCATCGCCTCCGGCCTGTCAGCTGGTCTCTTCCCCTGCCCAGGCCACGGGTTCGGGAACCGCCACCTGGATCCAGAGAACCTCCGACGAATCAAGGATTCAGGAAAGAGGGGGTGGCCTTCTCATGGGGGGGGGGAGACCCCAGGGGCCTGCCCATAGGGGAAGGGGCTCCCAATCGTCTTTATCAATGCCGCAGCGACGTCCGTCGGAACGCCAGCTGACCTCCCGCCTGGCCGCAGATAGACTCCATGGGAAGGTGGAGGCTCAGCGCCCGCCATTCCCACCTCCAAGAAGATCCGGAACAGCCAGGACGAAGCAAACCCGTCTCAGCATTTTTGAGCGTCGGTTTCCTGCAAGGGAAGGAGAAGCCAAGACAACATTTCCGTTCAACCGAATCCGTTCAATGTATTCAGCGTGCGTTGGAATCTGTTCTCGGACCCACATCTTGCGGGCGGAGGTGCCTACCCAGAAGTATCGCAACCCACTTTGAAAGCGTTGAAGATCTTGCAGCCTCGCATGCTGCCTTTAGTAGGTGTGGCTGGGAGGGACCTTTCCAGGCTGGGGGGGCTGTCAATCTATCCAGGGCTCACCAATCATTCCCTCCTGCCTCTGAATTGAAAGAATGCCCCGCCTCCCTGCTCAGTGCTTATTTCCCTCTCTGTGCTCTCACTGGCGGTAGCTGTTGAAGTCTGTTGCTGAAAGCAGTCAGGTTGGTCCGTTTGCTGTTCAACTGTAAGTAACAAAACCTTTATTCTTTCTCTTACTAAGAATGCCCTGCCTCTCTTACTAATGTCTCAGAGCGAGTTACTGAGACCGGAAGGGCCAGATCATGATTCACTTATCCACCGTTGGAAAATATTAAAAGAAATACAGCAGTGCCCCGCTTGACGATGACCTCGTTATACGACGAAATTGCTTCGCGATTGCAAAACAATGGTTCTATGGGCTATTTTCGTTTGACGACGATTGGTTCCCTGCTTCGGAAACGGTTTTTCGCATTACAACGGTCAAAAACACCTGATCGTCGGGTTTTCAAAATGGCCGCCCGCTGTGAATTAGGACATTATTTTTTACATTTACTTTTCCCCCCTCATAATGTGCCTCCGAAAGGCTTTTGATTCAGCGGGGGCTTTAAATTTGGGTGTTTCAAACCGAATTTTAATATTGCAACTTTTTAAAAGCTCCCTTTTATAAGTCGCTTCGGGAGAAAAGCAGGATATACATGAAACCAGCAAACCCATAAAACCAGAGCATGGTGTCCTGCAGGGACCTGTGGTTGTGCTGATATTGTAAGACTCCGATGCCCATCTGCCCCCCCCCCCCAGCCTGGTCAAGGAGAAGCGATCAGAGGAACGCTAGCTTTCCATCCTCTGGAAGGCCACTGGTTTGCTCACTGGCATCCCATATCCGCAGAACCCGTAACCACAATTTCACCTTCTCAAGGAGAAGCGATCAGAGGAACACTAGCTTTCCATCCTCTAGAAGGCCACTGTTTTGCTCATTGGGATCCCATATCCGCAGAACCCATAACCACAATTTCACTTTGTCTTTTACCACGCTATGTACAGTGTTCACTATTATCCATGGTTTCCAGCATCTGCGGGACAGGGGTTGGAACCAATTCCACAGGTATGGGGAAGGTGAGGAAAACCGACCAGGGAAGAGGCTGAAATGGCAAGACCTCTTCTTCTAGAGTAATAAACACAGAAGAACATGCTGGCTGGAAGAGAAGGATTATGGGATACGTAGTAAATAAAAGAGGTTGGGAAGAGTCACGGGTTAATCCAAGCAGCAGAACCAACTTTGACTAACAGGGTCTCGGGCCCAGAGAGCCATTTTCTTTGCTATCCTCCACCACGTCACAACGAGATCTTGAACTCAGGACCTTCTCCAGAAATGCGACAGTCTTTCCCCCCAAAAAGGAAGCAAGGCTGGTAAGGAACACGAGGCTGGTATGAAATACAGGGTGTAGAAATCGTATTCAAAGAACGCTCCCCCCGAGGCTTCGGGAAAAATCTGGGAGGAAAAAAGATTTATGTCAAGACATCGGTGAGTAGATGGAGAAGCTGGAGGTCTCGGGGTTCGAACCGCCTCCCTCTCAAAAGCCGTGGAACTTCGCCATCTATTCTGGGCGCTTGGGAAAGGGGTCGCCCACCGGGAAGCAATGGTGCTCCTAAGCATGTGCAAAGTGCACCTTCTGCATGCACAGAGGAAAGAAAAAAATTCCATGCCATCAGGTGGATTCTGGTACAGCACCAGCGGTACACAAAAAACCAACTGAACAACCCATAGAAGCATCCAAAATCAGACATTTCTCTGCTTTCAAAAGAGGGGCTACATTTCCTGACACCGGTGTGAATTAGGACATTATTTTTTACATTTACTTTCCCCCCCTCATAATGTACCTCCGAAAGGCTTTCGATTCAGCGGGGGCTTTAAATTTGGGGTGTTTCAAAACCGAATTTTAATATTGCAACTTTAATGGCTTTTTAAAAGCTCCCTTTCATAAGTCGCTTTGGGAGAAAAGCAGGGCATACATGAAACCAGCAAACCCATAAAATCAAGGCATGGTGTCCTGCAGGGACCTGTGGCCGTGCTGATATTGTAAGACTCCGGTGTCCATCTGCCCCCCACAAGCCTGGTCAAGGAGAAGCGATCAGAGGAACACTAGCTTTCCATCCTCTAGAAGGCCACTGTTTTGCTCATTGGGATCCCATATCCGCAGAACCCATAACCACAATTTCACTTTGTCTTTTACCACGCTATGTACAGTGTTCACTATTATCCATGGTTTCCAGCATCTGCGGGACAGGGGTTGGAACCAATTCCACAGGTATGGGGAAGGTGAGGAAAACCGACCAGGGAAGAGGCTGAAATGGCAAGACCTCTTCTTCTAGAGTAATAAACACAGAAGAACATGCTGGCTGGAAGAGAAGGATTATGGGATATGTAGTAAATAAAAGAGGTTGGGAAGAGTTCCAAGTTCTGAGCCAGATCACGGGCTAATCCAAGCAGCGGAGCGAACTTTAATGAACAGGGTCTTGGGCCCAGAGAGCCGTTTTCTTTGCTATCCTCCACCACGTCACGACGAGATCTTGAACTCAGGACCTTCTCCAGAAACGCGACAGTCTTTCCCCCCAAAAAAGGAAGCAAGGCTGGTAAGGAACACGAGGCTGGTATGAAATCAAGTGCGTCTTCCTACGCTGGGCTTTCTGCCCCGTCTGAGCCGGAGTGCTTCCTACGTGGCCCATTAACCACAGCTTCTTCCCCAGATAAGGAAACCAAAAAACACAGATTTCAGAAGCATGAGAAGCCCGGGGCAGGAGGAAAGGCAGCTTGGTGGGGAGGGTGGGAGGAAAGACACGGGTTCAAACCTCTTCCGGCCCCGTGATTTCAGGGACACAAGATCGTGTTGTGATTTAAGGGAACTCTGAGTGTGTTGGCACGGATCCTGTGCACAAACCCGGCAGAAACATGACCAGCGCTTATGGCACCCGGGGGGGGGTGGAAACGGGGACGCCCCAGGACGAGACTTCTGTAAATGATTAAAGAACAGTCATGATTTCCTGCCAGTGAAACACAAACGAAGAGGAGAGGAAATCAAACACAAGACAGAAAAGCAAGCCCCGCTCAATGCCTCCGGGGAGGGCTTTTTCCTTCGCCAGGCGCAGGAGCGTGAATGGATTCTTAAAACCAGGAAAGGGAGGGAGAGCAGCTCTTCCAGCTTCTTCCTTCAGCTTCTCCACACAGGCTTCACATATATATACAGTACAGCCCCTCCTCCTGATGTCCCGCCTTCCACTCCCCATAGGATGGAACTTTCCCTCCAAACCCATGACAGACAGGTAACATCAGTGCTGTATGTAACACCTCTGTTGTAAAGGCTTCTCTTCCCTTGGACAAGATGACGCTTGCAAAGCTGTTAAAAAAATTCTCCTACCCAATTAGGCAGCCAGTCATTCAGGGAAAGCTTGTTTGAAGAGAAAGGTCTTGATCTGCTTGTGGAAGTACAGCCAAGAGGGGACCAGTTGCCTCCAGTGGCAGGGAGTTCCAGAGTCTAAAGGAGCAGACCCAGAGAAGGCCCTCTCCCAGGTCCCCACAATACGCCCCAGCGGGGCCGAGAGCAAGGCCTCTCCTGATGATCTGAGCGCTCGAGTAGACCCGGGGAACTTTCCCGACACTCTCCGTCGGCCGCCCCACGTAGAGCGCGTTACGGTAATCTAGCCGGGAAGTAATTAAAGCGCCGTGTCCTTGCGGCCAGGCAAATCGGGTCCGTCCAAGCGAGGTGCGATGATCCTTCGCCTCGGTTTCCTCAAAGCGAAACCGGAACCTCTTCCTTCTCATGGAAAGAACGAGGAGTTTTAAGCCCTTCGAAATGAAGACAGAAAAGCAGAAGTCCGTCCGTCTGTAAAAGCGGCCCGCTTCTGACGTTTTCAAGAAAGCTGGGCTTCCTGTACGTATTTAAAGAATCGCTTATTCTCTCCAGTAGCGACGGTTTTAATGTTCCAGCACACAAAGCAGTTTTATTTATACCTATATACAAATATACACAAACACCCACCTACCTAATCCTGCTCCCCTTCCTCTCTCTCCAAAATGGGGACTAGTGGTTAGAGTCGCCGCGACCGGGCTTGGAAATTGGAAAGACTCAAACCCCAACCTCGTTAGGGTGGCTTCAACTGACTTTCCTTCCTTCTTTCTATCCATCATCCGCTCGCTCCTTCCTTCCATCCATCATCAGCTCCTTTGCTTCCTTCCTTCCTTCCCAAATATTTTTTGCCCCACCTCCCTTTTTCAGAAATTGATTTATTGACCTCTTCCTTTACAATTTAACCCCCCCGCCTTTCTCCTTAACGAAGGGCCAAGGCTTAAAAGACGGACCCTCCAAAGCTCAAAACAGGATCTAATAATGGACGCCGGCGCCGAAAGTCGCTAAAAGAAAAGCAACGGCCGAAACCCATTTAAAAAGCAACGGGGCAGAACCACCCATTAAAAAACCCCCACTCGGGCCAGCCTGGCGCAGAGGGAGAGCTTGGCGGAAGGAAGAGAAAGATCTTTCGGCCCTGCTTGCGGAAAGAGAGCCAAGAGCGGGGCCAGGCTGGCCTCCAGTGGCAGGGAGTTCCAATGGCTGGGAGCCACCCCCAAGAAGGCCCTCTGTGTCTCCCCATCAGACACACGTGTGAAGATGGTGGGAAGGAGAGAAAGGCCTGAGGATCTGAGCACCCGAACAGGCTCGTAAGGGGAGACGTGTGGCCTTTGAGACGGCTCGGGTCGAAATCGGTATTTTAAGAGCAGTGTCGTGTAAGGGTTAGAGCAACCGAGAGGTCGTGCCGATGGACCTTTATAGCCCAGCGGAAACGGATGAAAAAGGAAGTGAAGAAAGCTCGGCTCAGGGACAGGACTCAAAGACAAGGGAGCCCGCGAGCCCATTTCAACCTGTGGCCTACCTCGCAGGTTTGTTGCAAGAGCCAGCAGGGCAGAAGGAAGTGAGTTCGGGCTGCTTTGATTTCTGCAAAGCTCGGATTAACCACATTACATGAGTCCGTGGCTTGAATTGTTAAGTAGGGTGCAGACGCTTGGAAATGTTGTTCAGAGAGTCCAATCCCCAGAATACGGGTTGGGGCAGCTGTCAATCAATCCAGCACCGACCAATCCTTTCTTCGTTGTCACTGAACACAAAGGCAGGCCCGCCTCTCTGCTCTGTCCCTTTTTCCCCCTCTCTACAATCTGTTGGAAGCCTCTTGCTTCAAGCGGTCGTGTTTGGCCAGCTTGCTGTTTTATTTGGCAATTGTAAGTAATGAAACATTTACTTTTTCTACTATTAATGTCTCGGGGTGAGTTACCGAGATCAAGGGCCAGTCAATGAGAAAAGGCATGGCCCGCTGGGGAACTTGGAAGTTATTCTGCTCCGTAAATCTCCGCACTTCTGCCGTGCGAGATAGAGGAACTTAACCAGAAATTCGACCCTCTGCAACAGATTTTTCTTTGGTGCCAAATACACCGTTTTTCACGTGAAAACTCTCCTCCGTTGTTTTTCATGCTCAGAAGAGAGAAAAAAGAGGCTGTTGTTCAGAAAGGAAATTCCTCACCCACAGGGGAAATTTCACAAAGAAAGAAAAAAAATTAAGAACTCCAGAAAGCGACGTGCACACGGAAAATGAGGGAAGGTGCGATCGGGCCGAACAGCAACCTCAAACCGCAGCGCGGGTGCGAAAGAGAGAATGTTTTTTCCACACCTCTCAACCAAACAGCTTCGGGTTCGAATTCACACGTGGTCTTTATTCTCCTATTTTTAAGAGTGTTCTGCTTCTCATCTTGCACGAGGAGCCACCAAAAGAATCACTTTTCACCATTGGCGGACGACGTTTCACCTCCGAAGCAAATTTAATCCACCCTCCAAAGCCAGAAGTTGGGAGTTCGAATGTCTACCTGGAGACATCCAGAAAGGGTTGCCAGAAGTCCGCATTGACTTGACGGAACGTGATGATGAATGATAGTCCTAAGTGTGCATATATATATTTGTAAGGGAAGATAACAAGCATCTGCCACCACCCCAAAAGCTTCTTTGAGAACAGTTCTGATCAGTAAGCTGAACGAGTAAGCTTCTGGGGCCTACAGGTCTCTTCAGCACCACTGCTGGAAGCCACGACCTTGCGTTTGCAAGAGTTTGAGAAGGTTCTGTGGAGGACAATTTGGCCATTTTGGAGACCGCTCGTTCGTAAGAGTCAACTGAACACAACAGAATGACAAACCGCTCTCTCCAAAAAGAGCAGGCAAGATCTTCACCCGGCCCAAAAGTGGGTCCATCTTCAAGGTTTCCACCACCCCTTCCTATCCTATCATCTTAACCTGGGAGTGGAACGTGGGGTGAAGGTGCTCCCTCCCAAAGCTGAGGAAAGCGGCGGCTCGTTTGGAGTCCGATGTCCAAAATCTCCCAGCCGGGAGGAACATGGGAGTTGTGGTTGAATGAAAAATGTCCCAGGTCTACCGTTCCCCCCACCTCACCACCCCTTCTCTCGAAGCGAAGGTCCGAGGAAGCGGAAGACCTTTTGACGCAGAGGAATACAACTCCCAGTATCCCCCCCAGGGAATGCTGGGGCTTGTAGTCCACAAAGCTGAAATCCCTGCTCAGTTCTAAGCTTCATCCCAGGACTGATTCAGAGGTGGGGGGGTGGGGGGTGGGAGCCTGGAGACGCCGAAGGGGTGAGGGTGTGCGGTGTGCCCCAAAGACTCACACACACACCCGCCCGCCTGCCCCTAATGCAAGAGAACCTCCATGCAGAATATTGTACCGCTCGAGGAAGCGAGCCAAGCTGCACCCAGTGAGGGCCCCCCCCTCGGGGCCCCCCTTCCCAGGCGCACCCCAGGGGGGTAAACCGTCCCGAGGGAAATTCGTTGGGGTCCAAAAGAGGAAAGGGGGCTCGGGGGGGCCCTCCTGCCTTCCTTACACACACACACACACACACCCTCCATCAGCAAAAATAAAAATAGAAAGCACGCTGCCATCTTAAGCCAAAGGAAAGGAAGATTTTTTTTTGGTTTTTTTCCTGTCGTCTTGGAGGAAGGAAGCTGCCGGGGGGGGAGGCAGGCAGGAAAAGGCGCTGGGGGGGCCAGGAAGGAAACCCCAAAAGCGCTGGGGACGGCAGAAAACAGAGACCGGTGGAGGCCCCAGAAGGAGGGGCTTCTTTCTTGGAGGGGTGAGATTTGGGGGGTCTCCAAAGACCCCCCAAATCTGCCCGGGGTGGTTTTCGAGGCCAGGGGGTGGGGGGTTTGCCCCTTCGCCTCCCGGTCGGAAAGGGGCACCCCTCCATGGACGCGCCCGCTCACCCCCCCGTAAACAGGTCCCTCCCCCCGGACCCCTTGGCCCATCGTCCCCGAACGTGCACCGCTCACCCTGCAGGAGCATCACCCCGCTCTGCCCGGAAGGCCGCGATCCGAGGGGCCCCGGCTGCGCCGGCCCTGGGCCTCCCTTCCTGCAAGGCAGGAAATATGGCGCAAGGGGGAAGCGCGAGCCCGTCAGAGACACGCCGGACGCCAGTGCCTCCACCGCCGGACGCTGGGCTCCTTCCTCTTCTTTACCTACGAAAAGCAACGAGCCTTCCACGTAACATCCTCAGGAAAGAACTCAGCCTCAGCTCCCCCCCCACCAGCGTCAACACAAAAGACACACACACACTTGCGGCGTACACCGACGCCAGATGGGCCTCTCCGCCCTGGCCCCGATCCCTCCCAGGCCCCGCGCTTCGGATCCTAACCTTGAAACGGACACACACACACACACAATTGCGGCGTACACCGACGGCAGCTGGGCCTCTCCACCCTGGCCCGGATCCCTCTCAGGCCCCGCGCTTCGGATCCTAACCTTGGAACAGTTCGAAAACAGGAAAGAAAACAACCTCGGAGAGCAAATCTGGGGGCCAAAGTAGTTAGTTACCATGAGTTTCATAACTCTTTCCTCGTTTCCCAAAAGTAACTTGAATTTGTGTCTCTAGTTTCTTTTTTTTCGTTTCACATTCTGAGACTCGGCCCTTGGGAAACAGATGGGAACGTACCTCAACGCCTCGGCCACCGGGACGATGGGGTCTGTAGTCCGACACACGTCGCGGAAGGCCGACCAATTTCAACTCCGCCTCTACTGAAGGAATGTAAATAACGAAGTAGAAATGAACTGGAAGAGATAAGAAAATTTGCTATACAACACAGAGAGAGAGAACAAATGTGTCAAATAGAACTACAATGCCCATCAGCCCCCATAATTGGCTAGGCTAGCATGAGAGGTCACTTTAAAGGTTTCAATTACTTTTCTAGTTAAAGTTACAAAGGGAGGGGGAAGAACAAATAGTTACTGGCAGTAATCCAGCCCCACTCCGATCCATGGCGCTTGATTCGCCAAATCCCTGCTGATCCCATGGGCCTACTCAAGTGCTAATGACGACGCCCAGGAAGCCGGGGGTTCAGCCATGCTGCAACTCTGCGCTGCAAAAAGGAACTCATTCCGGGGTTCAGCCATGCTGCAACTCTGCGCTGCAAAAAGGAATTAACTGCAAGGAACTCATTCTTTGCAATTCCTTCTTGTCAAGGGAAAAGTTACAGCGTCCAAGCGAGTTCCTTCCGAGGGTTGCCACCGGCTTGGCGTAAATGCCACGCCCGGCCCCTTTCCGATGCCCACGAGGCGGTCGGGACCCGCAGGGGGAGGTGTGGATGCCACCGGGTGCCCCCTTCTCCAGCCCCCTCCTTCTCCGGGCCAGATGTGGCAACGGAGGGGGGGGTCCTTTTTCGCAGCTGGGTCCCCGGACGGGGCTGTGAATAGGGGGCTTTCTCCTTGCGCCAGGCGGGAGGGGGCCGGGGGGCCGGGAAAGGCCACCGGGGGCCGTTCGGGCGACGTCCGCCCCCGGCCGGCCTCGCCATGCAGACAGGGAGGCATTGAGAACCAGCTAAGCGGGCGGGTGGAAACAAGCCTGCCGGCCAACTTTTCGAAAATAACCCCAAGGGTCAAGGAACCAACGGCTGCCTGAGAGACCCCCACCTCTTTCCCAGGGGCAGAGCGTGGGGCTCAGAGTTCGAATCCTGACAGCATTTCCTTGAAGCAGGCCGGCCACGCATGCCATGAATAAATGAATGAATAAATGAATAAACAAACAAGCAAGCAAACAAATTTTTAGAAACGGCTTGCAATAACCACCAGTTTGTCCTGCGGAACTGAATGCTACTGGATTCGGAAACCAAGAGGCTGCCCGACCTGAGAAGCCTCGATCGTTAAAACAAACCAATGGCTCTCGATAGCTGTCACGAACCCGAAGCGTTCGGGAGAAGGCCGAAGCTCCATCGAAAAGCACCTGCTCGGCTCAGGAGGAAGGCCGTTAGGAGGCTGCTGGGTTACAAGTCCCATCATCTCCATGCCCTCTGGATGATGGGGGTTGTCGTCCGACACGTCCTGTGTAGAAGGTCCAACCCGACCTTCCCAGAAGGGACATAGATAGCAAGACACAAACTTTCCCGCTGGGGAGACAATAATCTGCAGTACAACGGGAACTGGGAACGTGTCTGGCAGAACTACGATGCCCATCAGCCCCCACCATCGGCTAGGCTAGCTGTAACGGGCAAGGGTTGCAGTCCATTTCAATGCTAAGAAGACTGGGGGGGGGAACTCACCTCACTCAACCAGCCTGGAGGCACCCGAATTTCTACTGAGCTCAGAAGCTACACACGTGTTGGGCTGGGGTTGCAAGGTCTGTATGGGATGATGGGTCACGGAGTGCTGGGGGTGGGAAATGTCGTTCCGTGGCCCAGCCACGACCGAAGCTCCCAGATTCAGCCCCACGAGAGCCAGGAATGGAGTGTCGCAAAACACTGCTGCCCGTATTAGCCTGCGACCGAAGCTCCCAGATTCAGCCCCACGAAAGCCAGGAATGGAGTGTCCCAAAACCCTGCCGCCCGTATTAGCCTGCAAGGAGCAGGTCTTTTGCAACGTTAATGGCCCTTGATGGTCCCTCCTCCAAAACCAAACCAAATTGCAAAGAAATCCACTTTTTCCCCCCAAATTGCCCTAAAGGACTATGTGTTAGGCCCCGGCTGAGGGAAAGGAGGCTTACTGGCTCCAGACACTCCCCCCCCCAAACAAACCGCAGGGAATCAGCTTAGCCCATAACGAGGTTTAAGTCCCGGAAGCTCTCACCCTTAGGCCAGCTGGCCGGAGATAACCCGGCCCAGGAACCTATGGCTGGGGGGGGGAGAGGAGAGAGGAGGGACCCCCCCACACACCCTCTGCTTTCTAAGGCCCTTTTAGAGATGGAGGGACAGAAAAGACACCGGAGTCACACCGGTCTCTGCTTCATCATGTCCGGGGAAAAGGGCCCGAGCGCCTAGTGGTCTCCCCGCGCCCTCGCCCAGGCTTTCTCCTACCTGGCCGGGTTGTTGTGCAAAAGCCGGGCGGCCCTTGCTGCAGGTTGCGGCCCGGGGGGGGCGCGCTCCCCCGATCCTGAGCAGGACCACCGACGAGGGAAAGAGATGATGATGATGCTCACCATCACCCTTTGGGGGAAAAAAAAGGAGACAAGACGAGCGAGCAGCCACTGTCCTTCCTGGCGCGCCCGGGTCGGGTCGTGGGAAAGCGGGGCCGCCCGCGTGTGCGCCGCCCCCACCCCATCCGTGCGCGTGTGTGTGTGCGTGTGAACGCGCCTCGCGTGGCTTGAAAGGGCCAGGCAGGCAGGCAGGGCTTGTCCTTCCCGGGAGGC